GCAAGTAATTAATCATTAATTATATGGGCACCACAACACATAGAAAAATTGAAGTGGTAAAGTTGAGAATTCATGGTATTATTCATGACAAGAGCAAAAAAAAAAGGCTCCATGGAACCCACCATTATCCATATCAAAGCACATTTCATAACTGATTTGTTCCTTTTTACTTTTAGTTTTTGTATCCCAATATTGAACTCATTATTTCATCTTATTATTTTTAAGTAGTTCTCCAGTTAAAATGATTAATAATTACTATATGGAATTTTGCATTGAAATATTTGGGCTATTCGTGGCAAGATGAGTGCGGAATAAAGAAATTGAACAGCCTGTGCTGGGATGATCAAACTGGATCCATTTTTTCTTTCTTCTTGTATGTGCTTATTGTTGTCTATATGTGTTCGCATTTTGAATCAATTTTCGTTTACCTGCTTTTTTTTATATAAATATGTGGTTAAAATTGTGTAATATTTGGCTGATTATGAAAACCTATTAATTACAAAATATAACAACCTCGCTTTTACGATCGTTGATTGTTGACTGGTCAATGTCTTCCCAATCAACGTCCGTCAGAGCTGGACTTGGATGATGGGTCCGCCACTGCTCAATACACAAAACGAGAAGAAGAGGAGACGGAACAAGGGCAGGGGCGTGGGTTTTTAATTAATTGGAGCCACATTGTTTTTAATTTTGTTTAAATGATTCTAATCTTAACATGACGGCTCTGATACCAATTGTTGTAATTATTTAATTATCACGCTATGAACAAAAATTACAAATTCTGAATTACTAGTTTGAAATTCATACGTGCGAAAGACATTGTTATGAATGAATATTACCAGCTAGATCTTCATCTCCTGCTCTTCAAAATAATGAGTCATCAATGGGGCAAGCCAATAAACGATATGGAGAGGAGAGGAGACCCAGCAATTATATAGAAAAATATAAAGTCGACTCATTATCGATTATAACCCCAATTAGGGTTTACATAATTCCGGCTTACATACTGAAAATTACCACATTATAAAAATAAAGCATGTAAGGTGTACAACGACTCAATTGATCACTAACATATTAGGTTTAATTACAGTATCATTGCAAACCATTCATCTAAACCATAAAATTCGCAATCAAATGAAAGTCCACTCCACGTAATAGAATTATTCTAATATAGAGATTAAAGCAAATTGGGTGGAAAATAAAGATAACACTTGTTTGCTATGATGAAAGAAATTACGAAAATATTTCTTTATCATTTTTAAATGATCCTTCAAAGATTTATATAAACTTCCTCCTCATCTATAGACAAAATTTTGTCACAAGTTTTCAACAATTGCCTATAATACAATGCCGTATATTAAGAGTTACTTTCAAAGATAATATTAATTTTCATGTGAATCAAAATGCAAATCATTATTAAGAGTTCCTTTCAAAGATAATATTAAATTTTCTTGTGCGCGTCACAATGCAAATCATTTTCGTAAAATGAAAAATAAATCATTAAAGAATGTGATGTATTTGAATATCTCTATAATCCTTTATTGTGTTTAAAAGCTGAACTAGAACATTAAGTGCTTGTTTTGAAGAGATATTTTAAGTAAAAAATGATTCTTTTTGGAGAATGAGAAGGCGAAGAGGGAAGAATTTTTTTTTATAATTATTCTAATTAGAACTCTTTTTCACATTTTGAAAAATTTGGGATTACCGATTATGTATGCGAGTATTTTTTTGTTAAATTTAAAAAGGGGGATAAATTCGTTATTTTACAAAGAAAAATGATGAAAAGGTAGTATTTCACAAATGTTTGGGTGATTTAGCCCCTTATTTGTCTCCCATTATGTGAGAAAGAAGAGTAATGTTATTCATCTCCAGTGGGGATGAAAACACAGTCTATGTGGTAATAAATGATAGGTTAAATGAAATGTGAAATTAATTTCACCTATCATTTAATGACACAATAACGACACGTAGACAGTGTTNAAAGAATAGAGTTTTGAATAGTATTTTTTGGGAAATGTGTGATTAAAATTTAAAGAAACTTTATTGATTTGCGTGTATAATATTTTATTGTGTGAATATGCGGTGGAGAAATGATACTATAGCAAACAATTTAATTTTTAAAGGATGACAAACAAATATTTAGTGAGATTTTGTGGCAAAACGAAAAATTAGGAAATATTCCACAAAATAAGCAAACGTTAGAGAATATTGTGCCGACTAACCTTAAGAATAGAACGGGGTATATTTGAGGAAAAAAAAAATCTAACAAAAGTAGTGTTTTGTATAATTTCCTAAAATGGGAATCAGTTGTGGGTGTACAGAAAGGGCCTGAACGGTCCACTAGGATTATGTGGATCATAAAAGGGCCGGGTCCCCAGCCTCATGTTCATTATCCTCACACTAGAAAACTGGCACAGAGGATTTATAAGAGAATCAAGCTACACGTGCAGATTTTTCTACAGAATTGTTTCACGGATAACATATGATAAAACATCATTAAAAGATGGGAATAAAAAAGAAAAAATAGACGGACAGGATGCTGCCACAGCAACACCCTATAGAAAACCTGTGAAACTTTCCATGTAATTTGTGAATAATCCTTTATTAGCACCAGGCCAACTTTTTCTTGGATATTGCAGATACTTATTTTTCATCTAGATTTAACCATACTTACAATAGATTGGACAATCCAATCTAGAAGAGTAACGTTTTTCAACACCATTGATGTCAAGTACTGATACATTCACTTCAATGCAATGTCATATGGAATAAAGTTGTTTGTACAGATAGAAAATTACAGAAAGCATTACAGATGATGAGATAGCAACACTATATTGACTAGTTATAAATTTGTTTGTGTCCAACACTCATTCACTTGCCAACTCACAACATGTCAATCATTTCCGTACATGTAGCATTTTTCATGTCACATGAGCCATTTAATTGAATTTATCAAGCGTGGTCACCGACTCACCATTCTAGATAACATCATTCAATCTTGAAACCACCAAACCGGTTTGAACCGGTTGAATAGAGTTGACAATTTTGCAATTGAACTGGCTAAAACCCAAGCCATCCTATTAGTTTGCAAAATAATTTCTACTTGCTGAAACGCTTTGTGCATACTGGCATGCATGCACATCAGTAAAAGTAAACTTAATACTTTTGAACCTCACCCAATGTATATCTAATTATCAAGTTAGAGATATAAATTTGAACTTCTTTATTTTTTGGAAGTGTTGGGTCCAATCGTGGTTTGACCGACAGGTCAGGTCAGCCCTATTGAGTATACTGTGCACATGCATTGCAAATGAATGCTTCAGGGCCATCGATGTCGAGCTTTTTCTTGTGAGTTATTCAATATGTGTCCCTTCTGTTCATCAGATGATTTCCTTTAGCTATAGACATCAGACAGAAATAATGAGATAAATGATGAGGACCACACCACAGTGAGATAAAGAAGATAGCCTATTCAGTTTGGTATTTAGGAAAAGGAAATGTCAATGATGAGGACCACACCACAATTTGATACTATTATTATCACCTTCTTCATTTTTACCTATTTATCGATAGTTGAGTACATTAACATCGTCAATTTTTTATACTCGTATAGTAGCAGAATTACTTTTAAGTGAAGTTCAATAAACAACAAAATGACATTTGTGTTGCCCTTTTAAAATATGGATCTTGCTACATGTACATTAAGATTTATATAATAGATTATGTAATGTCACATGACCCTCTATCATTTGTCAGTTTAAAATACAATCAATTTTTTCATCCAATCTTTTTCTTCCACCTCATATCATTATGTAAAAGTAATAAAATCCTTAAAATATTAGACATGTACACTGTACTCATCTTTTTATTGTCCATTTGGACGGATTCAATCCACAAGGTCCTTAAACGCTGCAAATATAAAATTGTATCCACATATAGCAAAAGTTAAGATTGTACAACCCTGCAATTAGACATTTTATCTCGTATATACATTCATGGTGGTTTGATAATGTAGGACATATTAAACTCTTGTTTGGTGGGATTCTCACCACATTTTAAGCAAAATTTCAAGTTTCAACCATTGGAAATGCATATGGGTCCCTACATCGCCGTCATTATTGACTCAAAATGATGCAAATTACCATAAATGCTATTCCTGCTTTTTTGTATAACGGTAAAAATTCCAATTAAAATTTAATGAAAATTGCTACCAGACAGGAGCTGAGTCCCCAAAAAAAAAAAAAGCAGATGAAGGAGCACCAACCATGCACCATGTTCCTAAGCAGCAGCCTAAGACTCAGAATCTAAGGACGTGTTCTCTTTACCATTTTCAAACCGTTTTCTATTTTCAATTTTTCAAAACAGTAAAAACGTATTCTCTTTTTTATTTTCGAAAACGCGTTTTTGAAAACAAGTTAAAAATTTACAAAGAAAACCCAAAATGACAAATTTGTCGTTTTGAGTGTTTTCAGTTATAATCAAATCAAAAATTTTAAATGCATGTTTTCAAAACAATTTTTTAAAATGCCAAAAAGAACACATTTTTAACAATCTCAAAATGGACACTCAAAACAAAAAACTCAAAATGAATTCAAAACTCAAAATATAAATAAAACTGAAACAAAAGAGAACAACCCTAATCATTTTGCATTAAAATCTTTCTTAAAAAAAGCTGTAACCATAATAATCCTGTTCACAAGCCTCTTACTAAACTATATAATAAGTAATTATTCCCTTAAATAAGCAAAAAGTTTCAGCAATGTTACCTCCATCTCCAACATTAAATCCAACTCTTGCCCAACAAAATCGTTCTTCCATTGATAAAAAACAAAAAAGAGAATTAGGTTTCTCTTAAAATAACCCTTTCAATCTACAAGAACCAGCCTATCCAGACCATCCTTTACAAGTCTTTCTCCATATGAAGCAGACTTTCTGGTCCCCTCATCCAAGTTTTTAGATGGCAAAACCCGGAGAGAGCCGATTAACATTTCACCCTTGTTTTAACATTGAAACTTCGATACGGGCATAGGCATTGGACGTTGGTGGGCGGCCGCAACCGGATTGTGTTGGCGAGAGATTCCAGCACCAGTAGCTGAGTATGATGAAGAAGAGACAGCCACGCGTTCGCATTGAGGACACATGGTAAGAGTGGTTGGAGGGTTCGTGTTCATGTAAAAGTGTGGGGAGAGCTTCAATGCTCTTAGATCGTTCACTTCCTTCTGCAACCGCCTGTTTTCCTCCGTTAGATGTTCACATCGCCGCCTCAAGTAGTCGCAATCAACCTCCGTTTGCTTCAATTTGATCCTACAACATTTGTAAAAGACGTTCAATGTACAAATCGACTACCGTATTCTATAAACTCTTCTCAGTACTAATTTTCCACTCAAAATCATTGGACTAGCAACATGTCAAATTACCATTTTTCTGAAACACATCGTAACAATCTATTGAATGCCAATTATACCCTTGACTCGGTTGATAAATAACTAACCTTGCCCTCCTGTTCTGAAACCACACCTCCACCTGCCTAGGCCTCAGATTCAGCTCTTTCGCCAAAGCCAACTTTTGCTTCTGCAAACCCCACAAAACCAATGGTTTAAAAACCTGCCCGGTTTTCTGTATTTTTCAGTTTAATTAGCCGGTTCTTGTACCCTCATGAATCATGATTAGAACACAAGAGTACCCCTAACCCATTAAAATATTGAGTAAAAATGCCACTAACCGGGCTGAGAGTATTATACTCCTTGAATGTTTCTTCAAGCACCGCCGCCTGTTCCTTGGAGAGCCTCAGTTTCTTCCTCCCTTCCACATCGCCACCGTCATCATCCTCCAAAGAGCTGGTGGCTCTCTCACCGTCGTTCTCCTCTCTCTCACCCCTCTTTCCACACACACTTGACACTGTACTGTTTGGTGATGACGCCATCACTACTTCCTCACAGTCTATAACAGTCACAGGCCTGTTCACGTCGATTCCTTGAAAAAACGATCTGGTCTCAGCAATGCGGTCTGGGAATTTTGAAAAATGTTAGATTTTCTCTAAATAAAGTCTTCATTTTTTGCTTCTATATTTTCATTTTATTGGAAATTCGATTTCTGTCAAAAAGGGAAGTCTTAAAAGAAAGATAATTTCTATGAAAATCAAAAGTTTTTACAATCATTTTGTCAGAAATCAAACATCCAAGCACAGAGTTGGCAAAGAAAAACATATGAAAATGGTAAGATTCGTGTTCTTCACAAAATAAAGCATAAAAAACAGAAAACAGAAATTTACCAGCCGGTGATTTTAACAGATCATTCCCATGATAATGCATAAAAGGCAAAGCAGACTTCATTAGATTCAAGGGGAAATTGGGTGTGGGTGGATCCAGATTCTTGTTATCTGGGCATCTCAAGCTCAAATTTAAATCATCATCTTTCTCATCCATCTTTATTTCTATTACTCCTTTTTCTCTCTCTAAAGAACCCAAGAACTCCTTTCGCTCTCTGTATGTCTTGGCCTTTATAGAGATGAGAATCCAAGAAAACAAAGAGGGGACAGGAGGAGGAGAAATGGGCTGGTCTTTTTTCAGCAGAGGAGCTACAGCTTTTCTTAGGCCAGTGCAATGCAGTCTTAAGATTGTAGACTAGCACCTACCTGGCCTACTCATATATAAAGAGAAGGTAGATATAAATAAATATATAGAGAGAGAGAGAGCACGTGTATATTTGGTCTCGCTGGAATTATAATTTCAATTTAGATTGCGTTAATGTGAGATTAAATGATAGATAAATTAAATAAATTATTTAATTTTACTTTTTATTTAACCTATCATCTCACATTATTTAGATTGAGTATAAATTCAGTAGGTTCCATAGTATTACTCGTATGTAAAAGATAACTTTTAGTTGAAATTTTTCATATTTGTTCAATGATGACTTGTGTCAGAGTATTGGCTCAATGATGATGGTGGGATATAGACTTCGATTTTTGAGCTGCAATGACACTGCCTTGGGACTTGTACTAACCATAGGTTTGAATATCAACTTATGGGTGTGGCTGGTGATAAAAATTAATGGACCATGCTATTTATATATAAAAATGTACACAAATAATTACATAAAATGAAGTAGAGAGTAAAAAAATTGGATAAAAAATTGACTGTATTTTAAATTGATAAATTATAAAGTATCATGTGACATTATATAATTATTTATGTAAATCTTTATCTACATGTAGCAAGATGCAAAATTAATTTCGAACATTATTCCTTGTTTGGCTGATCTTTATAAACTGTCAAATAATTTTTCATTCGCACATTCGTATTATAAGATCTATCGGGATTATTCATTTATCTTGCTTATTGTTATTTATTTAACCCCCTTTGATGGCATTATTTTGAGAAAATAGAGTTTTAAATGTTGATGTTTTGGAGAATGTATGATTAAAAATAGGAAAACGTTTTGAATTTACGTGTAAAATATTTTATTGTATAAATATATTATTAAAAATAAATATAAGAATTAAAGAATTTTGAAATAAGAATAATATTATTTAGTACCACTAGTGCTTAACACCAATTTAGGTGGCAATTGATGCTATTAAATTATAGGTTCATTAAATGTAAAGTCAAAACATTCATTTAATTGCACATATCATGAATGGTCATTTAAACTGATGTTATAAGAGCATCTCCAATAGACTCTATTTTTAAAGAGTATATTCTATCATTCAGAGAACATCTATAAATTTAGAGAGTTAAAATTTTGAAATACTCCAACAAACTCTTTATATGTAACATTTAATTTTACTACTCCCAAAAAATATTTATTATTTTTCTTTATTTATTATTTTAATTAGTTTTTTCTTTAAATTATTTTATTGTTTTCGTACATTGAAAGTTGAAACACTTTGAATGCCTTTAATTATAGAGAGTGAGTTTGACTCTCCAAATTTGGAGAGCCCGACCCACTCTCTAAATTAAAATGTTAATTCAAAAAGTCTCTTGAAAAATGATTTTAAATGTTGACTTTTTAAAATAAAGATGACATCATATTGAAAGAGTCTTTGGAGATACTCTAATAACATTTCCAATAAAATCTCTATTTTTAAAGAGCGTATTCTATCATTTAAAGAGTATCTATGAATTTAGAGAGTTAAAATTTTCAGGAACTCCAACAAACTCTTTATATTTAACACTTAATTTTACTATTCCCAAAAAAATATTTATTATTTTTGTCTATCTTTTATTTTAACTAGTTTTTCTTTAAATTATTTTATTATTTTTCTACATTGAAAATTGAAATACTTTGAATGCATTTAATTATAGAGAAAAACCCACTCTCTAAATTAGAGTATCTCCAAGAGACTTTATTTTTAAAGAGTATATTCTATCGTTTGAGAGTATTTATAAATTTAGAAAGTTAAAATTTTGAAATATTCCAACAAACTCTTTATATTTAAAACTTAATTTTACTACTCCCAAAAAATATTTATTTTTTTTCTTTATCTTTTATTTTAACCAGCTTTTCTTTAGATTATTTTATTATTTTCCTATATTGAAAATTGAAACACTTTGAATGCATTTAAGTATACAGAGTCAAACACACTCTCCAAATTAAAATGTTAATTTAAAGAGTCTCTTAGAGCATGATTTTAAATGTTGACTCTTTTAAAGAGAGCATCTCATATTTAAAGAGTCTCTTGGAGATACTTTTAAAATGTTAATTTAAAGAGTCTTTTAGAACATGATTTTAAATGTTGACTCTTTAAAATAGAGAGCATCTCATATTTAAAGAGTCTCTTGGAGATATTATAACACTACTAGTTCAAGATAGAGTAATGCTATCATCCCCATTGGAGTTGAACTCCAATCTATGTGACAATTGTATGATATTAAATGAGAGACTCAATTAAATGAGTCAAAAGACTCAATTATGTGACTCATTTAGTACCTGTTTGAGAAAATTTATTTGGGAATAATGAGTTATGGAATAATATTTTTTGAAGAATGTGTGGTTAAAAAGTAAGAAAATTTTATTGATTTGTGTGTAGAATATTTTATTATATGAATGTGTAGTGAAAAAATGATACTGTAGCAAACAATTTAATTTTTTAAAGGATAACAAATAATGTCTATTGAGTCTTTCATTTAATGTCATGTAATTGTTGGGGCTCAAGCTCAACCCCACTAAGGATGAATAGCACTACCTTTTCAAGATAACATTTTTTCTTGAAATAATGATGTCGAATGGGGCCTTATATTTCATGTAACTTACAAAACAAGTTACAAAACGCTCCATTCCTACCCCGTTCCGATTTTATGTCACCTCTTCAAGATAACATTTATGTAACTTACAAAACAAGTTTTGATTTGATAAGATAGGAATGTCAAAACGCTCAATTCCTACCCTGTTCCGATTTTTATTTGTATTATTTTAAATTTTGTAAGGTATAAATTAGTAAGCCCCCATTTAATACTAATTAAAATTTATATTTTAATCTAAATTTAAGTCAATAATTAATTTTAATCACATATTTCATAGGTCTCACAAATTTTTAACCACGTACTTCATCAACTTTTATCAAAATTTACTAAAAATCTGACTTTATTCCCGTCAAACAAGGGCTAAATAAATAAACATGACATATAATGTATTTTTTTTAATCATGCTACACCCAGTGGCGGACCCAGGATCTAAGCTCAGTCCGTTTTTAAAAAAAAGAATGCACTATGCAGCACAGTGCACATGGCACCCAGTGAGGGCCACTTTATTCTGAAGAACTTATATCAAGAACGAAGTGATATATAAAATACTTAGCGAGACAGCGAAATGCTATTTACAAGATTTATTAAAAATCTATACAACGAGAAGAACACTAACACACACAAAAACTCAAAAAGAAGAGATATTTCCAGTAAACAACCTCATTTCAACTTTGAGGCCCTCCAAATCTAGAATCAGAGTCCACACCACATACTTCACAGATTCATAATTCATAGAAAAATCCAGGTTCACAAGGTAATCACAACTCTACAAGGGCAAGATTAAGATTCAAGAATCCAAGACAAGATGCCAAGATTTTTGAGGTAATACCTTCGATTTCGATTTTCGAAGCTCTAGCAGGCAGCCTCCAGCTACAGCATGTCTGCACCAAACCACCAATTTTCCACCACCGACCACAGTCAAAGACTCACAGGCACAGCCACAGGAATTTCGCCCTCATTCGTAATCGTCAGTCGCTACCCTCCCCCTCTCTCTGCCGGACAAACAATGGGTAAATGAAAATGGTGATTGATTTGGATTTGGTTAAATTGGATGAGTTGTGTGGGCTAATCACTAATGGACTTACCAGTTTCAATTGGGTCTTTTTTAAGTAAGGCCCAAAAATATTAAAACGTGACATCAACGAAAGCAGCAGCTCTCCTTCAGTCCTTCTTCTTCCTGGAGGACGGCAACTTGGTGGCGAGAACCTGCAGCTTCCGACGGACCCAGCACAGGCGGCCGAGGGGGCTGGCCGGTGCTAGGTCTGCCCATGGCTACACCTCTTGAAAATTTCCAACGGTCCCCATCCCCCATCCAGCTCTGTTTGCAACCACAATGTCAACATGAAACTTTGATATCGTAAAACGACTCTTCCACTCTTAAGAGTTTAACCCTAGTTTGGTGGGAATTAAAACCAAATTTTTAGTATATTTTAATAAAAGTTAATAAAATGTATGGTTGAAAAATAGTGAGACTGTTGCTATATGGAAAAATTTTGGCAAGAGATTACAAAACATTTTGAAATATGCAGGGCAATCCCAAACATTAAATCATAGCATATACATTCCAAATCTTTTAATAAATGTGTACAGTGATATATGGACGATAAAGAAATATCTTTCTTTTTTTTTTATATTTAATTATTTCAATTGTTTTAGGTGAAAAAAATATAGAGTTACCATTTTGTATTTTTGAAAAGGAAATAGCCATTTGTACACTTTTGTGTACATTAACTTTGACACTCCTCTCACAAAAGTGTTGGAGCCCATGATTTTTTAAATTGCGGGCTCACACTTTTGTGAGAGGAATGTCATGCATGATATACATCAAAGAGTGTACATCAAGCATGACTCTTTTGAAAAAAGGTTGAACGTTTGACAAAATCCGTCCCGTGGTCCTCATATCTTTCATTTATTAAAATGTAGAAATATAGGTGTTACAATTTAAAAGTTGGGACTGCGATACACATTTTGAAAGGTTTGATACCGCAAATTTTTTCCATTATATTTTTTTGATAAGCATGTTTAAGCCCCTGTCGACAGCCATTATTTGAAAACTCTTTAATTCTTATACTCACTTTCAACTACACATTTAAGCAATGATAATATTTTGCACGTAACTCTAACCTTTTTCCAACTTTTTAAACACACATTCTCCAAAAAATTACTATTCAAAACTCAAT